CGTGTCCCTCCCTTAGGGACGAGTGGGCCAAGACTCCCTTGATCGCAATCGTTTCAGCTTGGAGCGATGAGGCATAGTCAGCGACCCTGATGGATGTGGCATCCCTTGCTGCGAAGCCGGCGCCTGCAGTGTGGTTTATGGGATCCACGGATCCGTCCGTGAAGTAGGTCCTACTACCCGGAGGAACTATATGTGCAATGACCCTCTGTAGTTGTGCCTTTAGGCTGGGCAGAGAGTATTGATCTTTTCTCCTTGACAAGCTCAGGACTGAGAACGCGATCAAGGGGTTCTCTACAGTCAGGGTGGGGGAGTCCATACCCTTGACAAGTAGCTGTTGTTTCACAGGGATGGATGCATCCTTAAAAAGTCTTAATTATCTGTTGGGAAATTTAATGCCTTAAAAATCTTTAAAATGGCTCTTTCTAAGCCGCAGGTCTTAAAATGTCTTAAATTTGCCCAGAGAACATCTTTGTTCGCGTAAATGTACATATATCTGTTACAGGCAGACGCCGTTCACTCACTTGCAGAACTCTGCGCGGTTTGATCGGAAATCATTTGTCAGCAACATTAGACGTCAACCCTTGCTGATCGACGTGACAGTTTACTTAAGGGCACAAAAATGTTGATAATAACAGTAATGATAATAACATTCTAGCAAGCAATCTGTCCGAAAAGCTGTGCAAAAAGAATGTAATTATTTTTTTTTTTTTATCTTAGTCATTGATGCAAGTAGGCTTCCGCATTATGGGTAAGTGTGCATATAGTGACAAGGGGCTTCAGGTCTTAAAAAAAAAACAGTTGGTATCAGTATTAAAAGTCTTTAAGACTGAAATTTCATCACCTTATACCTGCAAGAGCCTCTTTGAGCTGAAAGAGTAACAACACCCTAGAGCCAGTTATCTGCAAACAGCTGGTAGTCTTGCTGTAAGCGTCTGAATACTTTTTGCCTCAAATATGTGTCTCGGGGTGCCTGTGTGATCTTATAAAGCCAAGATAAGCCTCCATGAGGAGGTTGAGGGCCTTTGCCGATGTATATATATATATATATATATATATATATATATATATATATATATAAATATATATATATATATAATAATATATATATATGTACGTGTGTGAGTGTGTGTCTGCATCTATATATCACACACACACACACACACATATATATATATATATGTATATATGTATATATGTGTATATATGTGTGTGTGTATAATATGTAAGCATGAGGGAGAGAAAGCTTTGGAGAGAGGGATGGATTAAAAGTAATATCGAGTAAAATGAAGGAATGGTTCAAAACAATAAATACCACACATTGCTATTACTTTTACCATTATCCTTGCAGCAATTATATTTCCTCCTCATCATAATCATGGTGATGGTAATGAAGTAAATAATCCAGATTATTATCAAATCAGCTTTTATTTTATTTTATTTTCATATCTACATATCTATCGATTTATAAATTCATCATATGAAGTAAAGAAATATAAAAAAAATCAGACCATTAAATATATCAACATTATTCAGTACAAGTATCGGTTGTATTTCACTATAAATAGGTTGTATATTTACATTAATTCTATCATTACCTCCGCCAAGTAGACTACGTTTTTGTTAGGGTTGGTTAGTGTGTTCGTTGGTTAGCTGGTTAGCAGGACGACTCAAAAGGTTATGAATAGATTGTTATGATTTTTAACCAGAGTTGTGTCTTGGACCAACTCGGGTGCCATTAAATTTTTGTATTGGTCCGTAGCATGATCTGGGTCTAGGAATTTTAAGTGTAATTCAAGTGTGATTTTTTTATTGCACAAGTGATTCTTTTGCCTTGGCTGAGGTATGCGCTCTCATCTTTATTATTATCTTGTTATTTTTCATGTTTTGTACGAGTATGTATGTTTGTGTGTGTATCTGTCTGCCTGCTTGTTGATGTGTATGTCTGTGTCTGTCTATCTGTGTCAGTGTGCTAGAAGGTATGTGTGTATTCCTTTGTGCACGTGCCTATGTGTGTATTTATTTGTGTACGTGCCTATGTGTGTATACCTCTGTGTACGTGCCTATGTGTGTATTCCTCTGTGTACGTGTCTATGTGTATTCCTTTGTGTACGTGTCTACGTGTGTATTCCTTTGTGTACATACCTATGTGTATACCTCTGTGTACGTGTCTACGTGTGTATCCCTTTGTGTACGTGCCTACGTGTGTATCCCTTTGTGTACGTGCCTACGTGTGTATCCCTCTTGTTACGTACCTATGTGTATACGTGTCTATGTGTATTCCTTTGTGTACGTTTCTATGTGTGTATTCCTCTGTGTACGTGCCTACGTGTGTATCCCTCTGTGTACGTGCATTACGAGAGTTCCCCGTACACCGGCATCTCAGCATAGCCCATTATCCTCAACAGCCTTTTCACTCTCTTCACAGCATAGGACAGGGCCAGTTTTTCCTCTTCGCTGTAAGGGTCAGTTTCCTTCTTGTTAGGACGCTTGAATGACCCTTGTAGGTGGTCCTCGAGGCACTGGAGTCGACCGTCGTCCACAGGAATTCTGGAAGAGATCGCTGGGTCAATTTATTTTTTTTTTTTTTTTCTTATTATTAAAGGTATTATTGTTTATTATTATTTATTTATTTATTTATTATTTATTTATTGTTATTATTATTATTTATTTATTGTTATTATTATTATTATTATTATTATCTATTTATCATTTATTGTTATTATTATGTTTATTTCATTTATTTCTATTATTATTATTATTTATTATTATTGTTGTTTATTTATTTTTTATTATTAATATTTTTATTTATCAGTGTTGGTGCTCTCATAACTACTCTAACTGTTATCATTTTATCTATTATTATTGTTATTATTGTGTATTTTATCACGATTACGAGTTGTTACAATTATCGCCTTTGACATTGGCGTCAGTACTACCGGCAAGATCCCTATTATCACACCATGCTGCTCCTCCTTCTTCTTCTCCCTTCCTCCTCCTCTTCCTCTTCTTCCTTCCTCTCTTTCTTCCTCTTCTTTTTCTTCTTTTCTTCTTCCTATTCCTTTTTCTTCTTCTTTCTTCTTCTTCTTCTTCTTCTTCTTCCTTCTTCTTCTTCTTCTTTCTTTCTTCTTCTTCTTCTTCTTCTTCTTCTTCTTCTTCTTCTTCTTCTTCTCCTTCTCCTCCTCCTCCTCCTCCTCTTCCTCCAATTAACAGCTTTTTTTGGAAGATTTGTGGATAGCGCAGCTAGATACGTCAGCCATGAAATGCTTCTTAACAAACTAACAAATCACGGAATTGTTAACTTTTCGTTCAAAAATTACTTGTCCGCGAGAACTCAGTCAAAATCCATGAAAAAGTATCATCAAAGCAACAAGTTTCGTTCGGTGTTCCACAAGGCTCCATCCTAGGCCCAATCTTATTGCAAAAAACTGTCTTCTTATTCAGTACGCTGATGCCTCTCAATTTCTTCACGCTGCCTCTTTTGACAATCTAAATGAGTTGATTGGAAAAGCTAAACTGACCCTAACAGAACCAAAGCAATGTTTCTGCAGGAATGGCCTAAAACTAAGTCCAATGTAGCTTTATAGGCAGCCGTCAGAACATTGCAAAAATACCCACAGATACAATTATAGAATTCCAAGCTTGCTGCAGCAAACCCACCACCACAGTAAGAAATTTAAGAGTAATACATAGACGATACATGACATTGAGACACACATTAACCACATCTACAGAAAATTAACGGTCACTCTGATATACTTAAATCACATCTAAAGTAAAATACCCACAGAAACAAGAATTGCTGTTATACAAACATCATTAAATACTAACTAAACATCTGGGGCTCCACAAACAAAACACAAATACAAAAACTAGAACTTTGCAGTCAGAGTAGCACTAGGAAATATGAATAAATATGACCACATCACACCACATATAAATAAACTAAAATGACTAAAAGTACAACAGAAATACAATTATGACACATGTATTCTAATCCACAAAGTCATACAAGGAAATAACCCATACAGACAACGGTAACATAACGGGCGGCCATACAAGACAAAACAACTGCTTATATACCAAAAGATCAAATACAGAAACCGGGGCAAGGAATATGATTAATATGGTGATCAGGAACCAGAAAATATTAGAAATATTTCCATGCCAAAAAAAAAATAAAACAAAAGTGATAGAACATCTACTAAAATATCAACATCAGGCGCTTAAACATCAAGCCGAACAGGATATTTCAATCACATACGATATTAGTGTTCAGTGTAATTTTGTTTCGCAAGCATTGTATGATATCTATGTTCGTAACATCTTATTACATATTGTGAACACCATATATGTAAATAGAATACCCGTTGTAATTAACGGAATAATGTTTGAATTTGAATCTGCTGCTGGCCTGCTTTCCTCCTCTTCCTCTTCCACCTCTTCTCTCACCTCTTCCCTCCTCACCTCTTCCTCCTCCACCTCTTCCTCCTCCACCTCTTCCACCTTTCTCTTCCACCTCCTCTTTCCTCTCCTCTCCACCTCCTCCTCCACCTCCTCCTCCTTCTTCTCCTACTCCTTCTACTTTCCTTCCTCCTCCTCCTCTCCTCCTCCTCCTCCTCCTCCCTCCTCCCCTCCTCCTCCTCCTCCTCCTCCACCCTCCTCCTCCATCCCTCCCTCCTTCCTGCATTACCTGAGAAACTCGAGCATTTCCTTAACATAGAAAATGGGATCCTGGACCAGCTGTTTCGTAGTAGACCACGTGATGGGGGCGGAGCTCCACACAGCCGGTCGGAGATCAGCTGTTCCCACAATGTCGTCATTTTCACAACGAAATTGCGAAAAATCTAGAAAAAAAAAATAGACAGTAAGAAATAAGCATATGTATACACACACACACACACACAATATATATATATATATATATATATATATATATATATATATATATAGAGAGAGAGAGAGAGAGAGAGAGAGAGAGAGAGAGAGAGAGAGAGAGAGAGAGAGAGAGAGAAAGCAAAGAGAGAGAGAGAAGAGACAGAGACAGAGAGAGAGAGAGAGAGAAAAAAGCTTTACAAGGACAGAAAGCTTTTAACCATTCATGAGTTTTATTGTGGATATTTTCTTCCAGTGAGTACTCTTTCATGTTGTCCTTATTCCTCATATCTCTCTGGAGTCGTTTGGCCAAGGACAAGGTTGCCGACGTAAAGGGGGGGGGGCGTGATCCACCACAGCCTCTTCAGGGATCCATTTAGGTCGTTGGTGTTGCTGGATCTCGCCTCTTGAGCCCTGTTTTAAAGGTCATTTCAGGGATCCTCTGTGGGATTAAGGTCAGGCCAGCATAAGATGTTGATGTTATGGTCACTGGGAAAGCTCGCGACCGTCTTGGACTTCATGATGCAGAAACATATCACGCTCACAAATGTCCCAAAATGCAAGCAAATGATTTTCTGAAACATTGGTATACTAGCTTTCCTTCACAATTTTACACGAGTAATGATTTGCGGTCCTTCCCTGTCCTTATTGCCACGGAAGGCAGCCCACAAAAGGACACTCTCAGGGTGATTCACGGTCGTAATCGCAAATTTCGTGGTCATACTGTAACACGGTACTCGGGTCTTTGAACCTCCCCAGACCACACGAAAAGTGCTCTCATCCCAAAATATCACTTTGTTCCACTTCTTAGATGTCTAATCTTTATATTTCTTTCAAAAGTTAAGCCTGTTTTTCATTACTTGACTTCTAAACAGCATGGCGACGACTTGTTGAACTCAGGTCCTTATGCAAGCGATGGTAAATGGTCGTCAGGGTGTTTATTCTTGTGGGAAGCATCGGTTATAGCAAGACCTGATATCACTCCACGTTTCAGTATCTTATCAGTCCTCGTCAATGCCATTTGGGTCCGCCAGAGCCTGCCTTCCTCTGCGGCTGATAGTGAGGTAGTCGCCTCAGGTGGTAAATATCCTCTCTTGACACCCACAGATCTCAGGCCACAGAATCCCAACTCTCCCTCCTGAAGCAGAGTCAAGGCACTGCCGAAGCCAGAGAGATGGATACGAAACCTAGGTATATTAACATTAATCTACGTCGTGATGTGCTAGCGCCCCAACCCCCTCCCCGACAGACGGGGAATTTTCGCCCGGTGCCAGCTACTTCTGAACACCCTGCATATATATTATTAACCTATATATATATATATATATATATATATATTATATATATATATATATATATGATGTGTGTGTGTGTGTGTGTGTGTTTGTGTGTGTGTGTATTGTATATATATATATATTATTATATTATTATATATATATATATATATATATATATATATATATATATATATATATATAATTAGTGAAATAAGAAATTAGCGAAATTCTTGAGAAAATAGCAGAAAATAAAAAGACGGATGAGTCAATAGATATAGATTAAATAATGGTCAAAGAAAGAGAGAAAAGAAGAAGAAGAAAGGAATGTAAGAAACAGAAGATTTTGATCACTCGAACTTAATTTTCGTATCTTTTATTAGCCACTAAACTGAGCAACATTAATTCATACTATTCCAATAGGATTCATGAGACATAAAAACCGATGAAAAACTGTCTATCAATTAGATCATCATATCTAATGTGATTAATTAGAAAAATAAACCTTTGGTCCACATGTGTACAGGTATACATTCCAATATGGTTTATGTACCAATTAAAAACCGATAAGAAACAGTATATTGATCAAAATACCCTAATACAATTAATTAAAATTGAATTTATGAGTTGCCCACTCACCTGCTCCAGATAGAGAGAGAGAGAGAGAGACAGAAAGAGAGACAGACAGACAAAAGAGACAGAGACAGACAAGACAGACAAGAAAGAGAGAGAGAGGGGGGTGAGAGAGGGAGAGAGAGAGACAGAGACAGAGAGACAGACAAACCGAAAGAGAGAGAGAGAGAGGGGGAGGGAGAGAGAAAGAAAGAGACAGAGAGACAGACAGACAAACAGAAAGAGACAGAGACAGAGAGAGAGAGTCTATTAATCAAATTATCACATCTCACATAATTCACCCAAAATTGAATTCACGAACTGTTTTACCTTGCGTCTGAAAACTCGCTTCGGGCAGCTGTTTCGTATGTCTATCCTTCCCCTTCAGCTTGTAATATTTCCAGAAGGACACGATGGATCTGAAAGTCAAATTTTAAAACCATAAGGATAAGAACGAACCGTATCCATGTTGACAAATGTAGAAAAGGTATGAATGAGACTGGATATCTTGTCTTGTGAAAGTCAATTTTAAAACCATAAGGATAAGAACGAACCGTATCCATGTTGACAAATGTAGAAAAGGTATGAATGAGATTGGATATCTTGTGAAGATATCCAGTCTCATTCATACCTTTTCTACATAAGGATAAGAACACCAAGAGCGATAATAATGATGATGATATTGATAATGATAGGTATAGATAATAATTGTTATGATGATATTAATGATTATGATAATAGT